AGGGCGGTTATCACTTCCCGGTTGCCCACACCGTGGAAGGGTTCTTCTGGAGGTACCTGAAAAGGAAATTGGATTAGAGGTGGTCTCAGTGACCTGAGAGCGTGACCGCAGTGCCCAAGGGACAACTGCTTGAGGCCGGTCGCGCACGGCCTTTTCGTGGAGGTTTTTGACGTGTTAGCTCCGTTCTTCAAAGGGCCTTACCGCCGGAGACGGATATCCGTGGGATAAGGTGAGGTGTGCATTTTTAGGGTCGACCTTTTCTAACCCCACCCCTCCTTGTGGGAAGGCAGCATCGCTGTCATGCTGGTTGTCTGAAGGAAACACCTTACTGCTGTCACACCTCTGTACAGTCAGCAGTACGACTTCGCCTTCGGACCTTGGGTTTGTTGCTTTTAGTCTTACCGCTCTTCAACCGACCTGTCTGACATGGTAGGACCTTGAGGAACGGTTGTTCCAGCCAGTATAGCTCGGTTGCTTCATCACGATAGGCAAGCCCGACCACCACGTCAAGGTAGCAACAACGGTCGGGAATGATTATATAAATAAATACCAGTACACCAATCACACGCGAAAGATTGCGTATTGAAAAGTCAAAGTTCAGTCATTACACCCTCCCAAAACTTTGCTAACTCTACGATCACAATTTACAATATCGTCGTGACTAAATACGGTTACTCGAACCAGGACTATAGGAAGTATCTTTGCACAAACCGCGTCCCGGTATCCCAAATTTCGTTTTGTTGTGACTAAAATACAAGCGGCCGTTATAATTGTTATTGTCGTAGAATAGTTCCTACCAATCGATTTGGAGTTGTGCTACGGCGGTTTAAGCCCCATAGGCCTTCGTCTGTTTTTTTTCGCTTACCATGTCCGTTAGCACATGATCATTAAGCCAAAACTCGAGCACAAACCACCGCAGCCTCTTAATCAAGTCATCTAGATCCAAATGTACTGGTACGTCCGAGGGTGGACAAAATCAGCCCTCCCTTTTGAAATACTCTTTATTGTCATGCGTATGCGGCCATTACCAGGGGAGTCCTACTCACCTTGTGTTGTTTACGAAATTGAGAGAACGAAAAGTGAATGTCCGGCGCTTTAGCCGGGTCGGTGGGTACAGAAGATCTACTCAGGGGTGTTGGAAATTCTTGATTTTAAACCAATGGTGCACATAGACTCCAGGATCCTGAGGGAACAAATGGCGTATGAACCTATTGTTGGTCACCGGCTATCATAAGGCTGCATCTCCTAACGTTGCTCCACTGTCTTATGGGTTAAACCTCTAGGTCGAGGGCTTGGGATGTGGCCTCCTTAGAAAACCACCTGCATGGGTTTGGCGTTCGGGCAGTATTCCAGCCCTCACACAAATCGAATGACGAAAAGTGGCGCACATATATTTGGTGCATTTATGTACCTGTGTTTATGTTGAAATAAAAAATTAGCATGTCACATACGTCAGTCTTCAATAGTAAGGATAGGTCAGCCGAGCCTTGTGAATCACTGCAATTTGTACTGCTGTGGAGATCCAATCTGTCTTTGGAAGTATCTGTAGAAGGTTCTGATATTACGTGTTCTGGTAGAGAATTCCAGTGATTCACTACTCTGTGCAAGAAACGGGACTCTAGACGTAAACTATTTGACCTCGGTTTTTTGAAATTCGTTGGAATGTCCTCCCAGATAATAGTCTGAAGTGGAAAAAGGTAAAACATGATACCAAGATTATCGTTCAGTATACCGTAAGCCAGTATTAGTTCACCTCGTAACCCGTGATAAGATAACGGAAACAAGTTGAGGCGTCTCAGTTTGTTTTCATAAGATAGGCCAGAGAGACCTTAAATGCTGATAACTTTAAAGGAAAATAGACGGGTATGACCATATTGCTATCGAAAACATGAATAGATTCCATAACTATTGAGTAAATTGATGCTTAGCGTAGTTAGATGTGAATCACGAATAAGTGTTATTTTATAAGAATTTCCACCTTATGTTCTGGTGCTGAGAATAATTTTAATTGTCTTCGTAACGTTCAATTGCTGTTGAAGATACAAAGATTGTTACCGATTCCTGGTCGTCTACACTGTAGACCTGGACAGAAAAGGACTTCGGGAATATGGTCGCAGCGCTCAATGGACACTTTCTTGAGGCTGGTCACATGACTTTTTGGTGAGTAGTTTCAGACCTTACGACTAGGAACGGAAATTTTAGGACAAACTGGGGTGTCAGTTTCGGGACCGACCCTTTCTAACTCCCCGTTGTGGGAAGGCAGCATCACTGCGAACATTTAATAGAGTTGCATTCGAATCATTAAAGTGGTGCTCAGTCTGTTATAAATAAGAACTGGCTCATCCATGCAAATGCCTGGTTCACTGAACTTGGTTTTCACAAAAGGTAAATGGAGAGATCTAAATATGTGTATCGACGATAGTGAAGGCTAAACAAGGATTTAATCTAAAAATACAAGTGATTAAAGCCATCACGTTTGGATCTTGGGAAAGGTTAAAGAATGAGCACAAATTTCAGCCGGTGTCGTCTAAAATTTCCAGTCATAGGTAGATGTCGCTAAGACGATATGTTCTAGTCACTGTAGTCAGTGTTCCAAGATGGTGACACCGACTGAATTATCGTCATTATGCCCGAACGCGAATTGCTGAATTTCAGCTGTATTAACATGGTGTTAGCGCTGGCTATCAACACTTTTAGAGACAACGGTGACCAAACACGAAATGTTTAACATCCTTGGAGAGTTCAGGTTTCACAAGTATAGGGCAGAACTGTTCTCAGTGACTCGTAAACCGGACTTGTTACAACCAGGCTAACATCACGATGGGACCAAAGATGCCTCAGATCCTATTCCTCTATCCCCCTTTGTTTTTTCTCAGTGTTATCTTATTTGTGTACCGCGTATATTTTTATTGCTCACTTGTTTCAGATTGTATGTGAATCTAATAAATCAGTAAAAACTATCTAAACAAAAGCAGTTCTAGATAACCTTTTGTATTTTACTACCAAATATATCGTTAATGATACCCTCGTGATCTGTATGGTTTATGTACTATTTTTGTTCGGCTTCTTGATAGTGTTCGGTATTATTATGTATGCTATTAACACTGCTCATCTGATTCCTATGATTCATGTATTGTAGAGTGTAATGTCGCCTACCACAGTTTGATGGATGACCAAAAATTCCTGACTTTGAAAGAACCATTACACAATATATTTCTCAGAACGAGTCCTATCATTTCATTAGCATCTTCACCTTTAAAACTTGGAAACTAGCCCGGGAAGTATTCTCCGATAATAAGCATGTTAAATCACATAACTGGTCCGATTTCTAAAGTAATATCATTCTCAATCACAATAATATACGATGCCATTGCTTCACCATATCCTGTTCCTACATTCTTTTTGACGACGAATCCATAATCTTCGCTATGATGATTTATAAAATTTTCACTAATGATTAACTCGGATTTGGTATTAATCAGTAAGAGGTTACTGTTGTATTCGTAAAGGGGATCCAATTCTTACATTGTCCATGGGCGACTGATTCTAGATACTTATTATTCTAAAACCGTGGTAAGGGTCAGTATGATAGACTTAAGTAGCATTCTATGTTGTCAACCTATATGTTAATTTGCCCAGTCGTTTCCACTAGCTTAACGGACTTTTTGTCAGTGAATTTTCCTGTCAAATCTCATTCTTGTCTCTTTATTTCTTACTCAGCTCTTGTGGCATGCGTTAGGCCGAGATCTTGAAAAATAAACATAACGTTTGCAGTTATGAACTTGCGTTTTATCAATCCAGATAGTGAAGAAAGACTTGATTTCGATTTGTCAGAAGAAGTACCTGAACCCAATGAGGACGGGGGTTGCGGTAGCTCTATTCTACAGTTTTCGACTTCTGATTCTTTCCATTCTGTGGAGCAAACAACGCCAACACCTTCCTGTTTTCACCAAAAGAAGTCAATTCTTGTATCTCCTTGAAACTCCAGGTAGTTATGGTCATCTTAATTACTCTTTGAATTTTTGTTGTGTTATGATAAAATTTATTTTAAATTTAAGTGTACTTTTTATTGTATTTGGTATATCTGTTATGGTATTTGTTTTAATGTTTCAGAGTTTATTATTTATTATCAAGTCTTTACCTCTAAGCTGACCAAAATTACTTTCTATTGACTAATAACCACATGACCCATAGTTTCATAGCAAAACCTTTTGGGATGATGTGCACTAATTACAATTACTAGTTTATTGCTTTATATTTGTTTCAGATTAATCCTGTGACGTTGTAGTAGCAAAATCGATTTTCAAGTGCCTTTGCGTTAATTATTCTCACTGTTACCATTTTAGAAATTCATACACTAGATGACTCGGTCACCTATTGAAAAAATAGACAGCGAAAAGAACACTGTGAAAAACCTCATGTTTTTAATCACAATACGTACTAATTTAAAGGCGGTGCTTGTAATTTACATGCTACCTTTTATGAAATTTACATCACACCTTGAGAATTCACTTTTACAACAATTAAGCTATTAGTCTCTTTGGATTGGTCGCATTTAGATGAAGTTCTGTATCAATTTGAGGACAATTTCATTCGAGCAGCCGAGTGATATCTCCAGTGATTATTTGACCATTTATTTTGTTCACATGATATATGTTTATTTTCACCTAGTCATCATACAATGGATGTACTTTAAATATTTAATAGACGTCCATTATTGTTTTTGTTTGGCTGTGATTATACGCTTTATCAAGTATTTACACTAATACAGCTAGTCATGTCATTAAATCTGACTAATAGTTCATAATATTCACTTTTTAGTATAGATTGTTTGAAATAAAGAATAAATGATGTAGATGCCCCAATATTAATCTTCTTTCAGGGTTTTAGTCGTTACTGGAGAGACTGGGAGCGGAAAGTCTACACAACTTCCTCAATACGTCTATGAAGCCGGTTGGTTGGACTCAAAATCCAGTAATTTTAATCCATTTGGAGTTACCATGGCTGTGACACAGCCAAGGCGTGTAGCTGCATTAAGTTTGGCTACGCGTGTAGCTGAAGAGAAAAATTGGCGAATCGGTAAACAAGTTGGATATATCATACGTTTTGAAGTGAGAGTTACCATACGTCGTCGCTTTTTCCGCTGATTTTTATGCATAAGAGTCTTTCCAAACTGGGTTATTCCTCTTTTTTTTTAATCTCTGCAATTGTTTGGATATAAACCAAAAGTACTCCATCTTAAACGAAACAAGCGCAAATTATTATGCTCCGGAAAGTTGAGTGAAGTCATCGTGGAAATCTAACTGAAAAATATTTCTTTGCTCAATTCGCATTTTGAATGTCGACGTGAAATTATTTAATTTGTTGAGAGCGAAAGCTATTTAGACATTTCAAATAGTTAACTTTTCAAAGGAATTTTTTCAATTAGCTTTTTATCATGACTCTACATATTCCGGATTCGAAAGGTTTTTGAAATTATTGATAAACAAGGAACTGATTAAAAGATGCAAATTAATAGGATAATTTTACTACTTTTTTTTCAAGCTCTATTATCCAATTAATAAGTTGAAACATGTATTTATAAATTAACAGACTATTTAATGACTGGCGGCAAGTGTTGGAAACAATGGTTATTTAAGAGTAAAGGAACAAGAATGGCAATTAGGAAAGTGGGAGGAGTAATAGCTCATTTTAGTTCACTCTAGTTTGTTTGATTAACATATTAAAAGGTAGTTAGAATATTAAAAAGAAGAATATATTTGTAAAATCTCAGCGAATGAATTTTAAGTAAATCCAACGTTTCGCCTGGCAATCTGGTCCAAGCTTTTTCAAGGAAAATATAATCAAACAACAAAATTATTCGTTCAAATTTAGACGAAAGTTCTTATTTAGTAGTTAGAATATGTTGATATTCAAAGTATTGAAAGCCGTTGTACAAGTATATCTTGTACACAGAGATTTGGGATTCATCCCATTGTTGAATAAAATATAATTATAGATTGTAATTTAGAAAGGACGAAAATATTTGTCTTATGGAGCACAATGAATGTCTTCTTTAAATTGGCACAACTAGCACATCAGTTGTTGTTGTCGAATTAGTAAACCTAGCCATTTTATTTCCCACAGGCTGCATGGATTATACTTCAGGGTTATTTATTTGTGTACTAACACCAATGTTTATTCAGTGTATTATACCTACTATTCGTGTACGAAACGATAATAAGTTAGAAGTTTAAACTGGTTCGTTTCCTCAACCCATCCGTTCTGATTAATTTATTATGTGTATATTAAACTGTATTCGAATAATTATTGCTATTGCGTTGTTTGTTTCGATAATTTGAATGCTATACTGTTGGGGAGGTTAGATCCACAGAACTCACTTGGTAAATGCCTTAATTTCATAATTTTATTTTGGAAATTTAAATTTCCTTGTTTTCGCTTCGAAAGCGCTCTTTTCACCTTCATGTCGTATTTCCCACTTGGGAGAATCTTTAACGCTATTGGCCCGTTGTGTATTTTTAGTATGCTATTTTTGCAACGCTTCTCAAGGACAGTTTTATGCTGTACATACACGTTTGATTTGTGTCTGTTATTATTCACTCGTGCTTCTGGCTTACGGAATATACTTTCCCGTTCCAAGCTTGGACATCTTCCTCTAGTTAGCGCGGCTGGGACGGATCAGAATATCTAGCTTATTGGTCTTCGGTCGCAAATCTTCGTTCCGTTCGCATACTAAGTGAACTCGTAATAGCTTCAAACCTAGCAAATTTGACGATGGGGATGGAATTCGAACCTAAAACATCATCCCATAACTGATTGGGGTAATATTCGTATTTCTTCCAACAAAAGTAATAAAGAGTGTCCTTAGGATTTGCTATTCATATTAAATCTTCAAATACTAGCCTACCTAAAGGATTAATATCCACTTTGAATCGTGCAGGAGTGAAGTGTGCTCCACTTGTAACTTTGGAAAGTCAGTCTACGGATCTGTGGAATTTATGATGCTTTAGAAATATGTAATCCATTTTAAACGGGAGTAAACTTATAGAATTTTGTGTGTCTAACTAGTCCCCGTTTCTCCTGTACCCAACTTCTTGCAAAAAACCTAACCGTATCAATTCCTTTATTTGTCTTTCAATTAAATTCGGTTTAATATATGTGGATATGTTTTCACAATGTTTTTTGAAAAAGGAATGTTGGACACCAAATTCAACCGTCATCTCATATCTTACCGAGGGTATGATGATACAGGAACTGTTGCGTGATCCGCTTCTCACTCGTTTCCGTGTAATCATGTTAGATGAAGTTCATGAAAGATCTTTACAAACAGATATTTTGTTGGGTCTTATTAAGAAAGTATTACGTAAACGGCCAATTGACTTGCGAGTTATAATCTCTTCTGCTACTTTGGAAGCTGAAAAGTCAGTTTCTCCTTATTTATGTTTTTAAAAGTGTTTGTTTTATGCCATATATTTATTTCATTAACCGTTATGAAACACCTATTGCATCCTTTTTAATCTGGTTATCATTAAGTGATCTGTCCATCACAGGTCTTAATTACTGTGGCTGTCTTACATTCAAAATTACATTTACTAAAAAAACAACTACATATAACTTAGAAACTGTCTGCTCAATGAAATCGTCAGGCTTAATTCGTTCTTCAAAGGCAGTGAATTTAAACCATTTGTTTATTAAACTCATTTACCAATTACAAATCCGTATCCTTGGCTTCGCTAACAAAGGCTGATGAATTACCTGTTTGCCCAAACTAAAACAGATTAAATAGAGTCAGGACGTTTGCATAGTGTATGCGATTCAAACTCCTTAATCATTGATGCACCAATCCATTATCCATTTTTAGTTCTCCTATGTTGTACACATCCATTAGCTACATCAACAAATCCATATCGAACTAAAACCGTTATGACTTTTGCTTCTGTCGATTGTCACGTGACAAAATCGATCAGAATACCGACTTGTATGACCTTGTTCTTGTGTTAAACCAATGACACGTCAAGTAACCCTAGCAGCCTTGCCTCAGCTCTATATCCTTATTAGTCCTTCTCGCCGAGCCCTGCCCGTTGAGTCCAGAACACAATCTCAGTCTTGACTGTATGAATCGAATATTTCAGACATAAGTGGTTTATATACAAACAAACCAGACCGCATCACATCATAAAATAGAGAAGGTAAATTATACAAGATCAAGCCAAAAATAACTGTGAATGTAAGAGACTGTAACTAATAATTTGAGAATAGTAAATCGTATAATAGTAGTCAATGGGTCAAATGAAAGTTTATGATAAAAGGAATATGAATATACATATGATCTAGTTACTTAATAGTCATCTAATAATAATAATCCACAAATAATCCCTAGCAGTTACTATTCATTTATTCTTCGTTCGATTATAACTAAAACCTTTTGTAACTCGGTAAAATTCATCATCTCAGCGTCAGTAAAAATAACCGACATAATCTGTATTAATTTAATCATTTTGCCAGTGGTCACCCTTTCATGATCTATTCATTTACTCATTTCACTGAATCAATCAACTTTATATGCTTACAATTATATATATAATTGATGAATAGATGTATCCTCCAAAGTTTTATAAAAATTAATATAGTATGTAGCATGCTTACCCAACATTCATTAAAAGGCTCGGTACTTCTTTAAATCAAACACACACCAGCATTTGGAGTTAATATTAATTACAACAATCAAATATATTCTTAAAATTTTCACTCTGTACTTAATTTTAGATCATCACTGTTAGTTATTTCTAGGCAATCATTATGAACTCCGCCTGTAGCTCTTCTAGGGCTAATACCGGTCCAAAGCTCAGGTAAAGTAGGTAGTTCGGGCGTGGGACCAGCAACCTCATCCCATAGAAGACAAACTTGCTAAAATAACGCGAACCAGGATAGACAAATTAAACTCTGCCCCGGAAGTTGATGGAAGAATTATGACGCCTCACGGTGAAAGCCGAGATGCTGTTGTACTCTGACCATAAGAAAGAAAATGCTTTGCACACTCAAGGAGTTTCACTAGTGCTGCTCATAAAAGCAGGAAAAGCACCTATAGGAGGGGAATTTGATGGATCCAGGATCATCAAATCATCTTTTAAAACAAAGAAGGAAGGAATCACAATAAATGTTATCCAGTGTTATGCACCCACCAATGAAAGCAATGGGGACAATAAAGATCAGTTTTACGAGAGGATGTGATTGATCATAGTGTAGTGCTGAAGAAAGGAACTGACCATCCTGATGAGAGATTTAAACGCCAAAGTTGGAGTGGACAACACCGGATATCATGGGACGACATAGACCGACTGGGAGAAAGCAACAAGAATGGTGTCAGTCAGTCAGCAACAACTTAGAAATTCGTACATCAGTTCGAGTTGCCATACCACATTAGCACAGAGGTACAATTGTCGATTCAAATCCCATAGTGGTAGAGGTAGTAAAAGTGTAAGCAGTAATCGGAAACATTAGGGTTTGAAGATGTTATCCAAGCAGTATAATCCAGTGAAATAAATTTGGAAAGAGGAAAAAAAGGGACATGAAGAATCCAGAAAATCAGAATTTTGGGGAACGCAAAGAGTGGATGCACCTGTGCCATTGCAAACGATTTTGAGCCATGTCATTCAAGGTCTCTAACCATCAGTTGCTATCATCTCGCGGATCCTAACCAATTAGTCTACACCTACCAACATGACTCAGTCCACTTGTCAGTGACTTCATGAATTTGTGCCATTTTTTGATCTGGCCACCCCTAGCTTCCTTCCAACCTACTCCTACACCACAAAACATCGCATGTCGGTGCAGTCGATGGTGATGAAGTTTCATTAATTCATCAATTGACTTGCCATCATTACCTAGTACTCGTTTTCTGACAACTGAATTACTTAGTGGTCCCAGGATATACGAGCAATGCTTCGAAGACACCTACGAATATCCTCTACTCTTACCGGCCATGTTTCACTGCCATAAAGTAGGACGGGAAGAAGTGCTGCTCAGTAAATCCGTCCTTTGGTTGATAGACGGATATCTCGCCTACGCCATAAATGATGCAAGTTGACGAAAGCTAGTCGAGTATTCTGTATCCGTGCTGATGAGACTCCCAAGATAAGTTAAGCGGTCGACACGCTCAACTACTTCACTCCCTATCATTTGTTCAGGTGTCGATGCAACCAAATCATGAAGCAACAGTTTGTATTGTTGCTTAGAGTGGTCAGAAGAATCTGCATTTTGTCAGCGTCTTCACCAAATGGAACTATGTCATCGGCATATTCTAAATCAACAAGTGGATTTTCCGGTAAAAGTCCAACTCCTGGAAATTTAGATGAGGAACACCACTTGAGGTAATCAATTCTGATGACAATTCGCCATAAGCTCTTACTCGACCAGTTGTGTTCGAGTAGAGATCTTGTATAAGGTTAATGTACTTCTTTGGTACTTCCTTCAGTGACAAACACTGCCATAGAACCTCACGATCAACAGTCAAATGCCACCTTAATGTCGAGAAATACTACTATTGTGGGACATCTGAATGTGTGTCTATGTTTTAGGACCTGACAGTGTGAATATCTGGTCTATACAGCCACGTCTAGATCGGAAACCAGACTGGTTTTCTCTAGTCTGCTCTTCATGAGCTTTAGTTAGGCGTCGAAGTATTATTGAAGCTAATATTTTAGACACTATATTAGTCAAACTGATTCCTCTGTGATTGTCACAAGAAAACATTTGCCCTTTTTTATAGACTGGCACAATCAGTGATTGAGACCAGTCAGATGGGATTACGTCCAGTTCCCAAATTCTACCTAAGACCTCAGTTAATCTCACTGCTAATACTGGACCACCATCCTTAAAAATCTCAGGAGTGAACCTGTCAGGGCCTGCTGCTCTCCCTCGCTTCAGATTTCCTATGGCTTTTTCAACTTCTTTAAGAGTTGGAGGACTTACATGTTCTAGGACCTGATGTAGTGTGAATATCTGGTCCATACAGCCACTTCCAGGTGAGAGAGTTGCAAATTTATGTGCGTTCAACAAAATGGTTATAGGCGGCACAGTATTTCCACGCAAACGCATACACAAATCTACATGTGTTCAATTGGGTTAAACTACACAGAACCAGATCTACCATATTTTCATCACTTAAAGATTCAGAAGGTCAATAGAAGACATGTGAACCAGGAGAGGAGCTGACATAGCTTGAGATCACCGCTAGCTGGTGGTTGCCAGGATGAGGCTGAAGCTAAAGAAGCACTGGACAACTGGACAAACAACATAAGAGAGGGTCAGTAGACCCTTTTTCGAGATAATGACAAACTCAACGAATTCAAGATGGCTCTCAACAACAGGTTACAAGCCTTACAAGATCTACTCAAAGACGAAGAAACTACTATGGAGGAAAGAAATGTAAGAGGCACTAAATACAACGTGTCAAGTGGTTCTGGGTCACAGGAAGCATCATCATGAGGAATGGGTCTCTGGAAACTGTGGACAGGATTCAAGAAAGGAAGAAGAAGAAGACAGCAATTGAAAACAGTCGAACAAGAACGGAGCAAGTCAATGCATAAGCTGAATACAGAGACGCAATCAAGCAAATGAAGGGGAGCGTTCGGTCTGACAAGCAGAAATATGTGGAAGATCTAGCAATGACAGTGGAGAAAGTTGCAAGAGAAGAAAATATGAAACAACTAGGTAGAACGTTCCACGTAACTGAACAGCATCATCGTTGAACAAGGAGGATGAGATGTAAACGTTAGGGCGAGGATTGGCAAAGTAAGGACAGCACCCCACAGTTGAAGAACATTTGGAACTCAAAACAAATGTCAATCAATATCAAAGTGAGAATCGTCAATTCGAACCTCAAGACAGTTCTACTGTACTGAGCTGAAACTTGGAGAACTACCACAACCATCGTCAGAAAGGTACATATATTTATAATCAATTGTCTACGTAAGCTACTGAACGTCCGTTGACCGGAACCCATCAACAACAGTCTACTGTTTGAGAGAACAGACCAGTTTCCATCTGAAGAGGAGATAGGTAAAAGATGTAGTATATGGATAGAAAATACATTATGGAAATTATCGAAGTGCATCACGAAACAAGTGCTAACTTGGAATCCTGAAGGTAAAAGAACAATCGGAAGAACAAGGAACACATTGTGTCGGTAATTGGAAGCAGATATGTAAAGGATGAATAGCAACAGGAAGCAAGTAGGAAGGCGAGTCCAGAACAGATTTGGATGGAGAATGCTGGTGGGTGGCCTATGCTGCTTTACGACCGGTAACAGGCGTAAGTAAGTAATAAATTTGATGAAAACTGTTTGTCTGATGTCCTTTTTTCTTAAAAAAAAACTTATTTCTTTTTTTTAGATTTATAGAGTATTTTTCAAAAATGAAGATACCTGAAGTTGAAACCGAAAATGAAGGGCTAAAATTAACTCCTGTTTCACATTTAAATGTGGAAGGACGTCAATATCCTGTGTCCATATATTACTCACTTGATCCCGTTCCTTGTTATTTGTTTGCAGCTAAAGAGACTGTTTTTCGGATACATGAAACAAAACCATTAGGTGGTGATATACTTGTCTTTGTCACAGGTAAACATTCTGGATGCAAATAATTGTTAAATTAAGAATATTACTCAAGCTGTACAAAATTTTCTTGACTGTTTTTTCACAGATGTTTAAATGTGATGTATGATAGACTTTACTTTTTATAAGAAATTTCAAAGGAAAGTTCATTCACATCATATTAATGTATAATTCAGAATTGCAGAAACATATTAGTTGCAAATGAGAAAAAAATACAGTTAGAAAAATCATTGACAATTTTTGTAGCATACAACAGTACGATTGTAACTTAGAGAATCCTGAAACCTGTGTGTATTCAAGGAATAACGGTTGTTTTTCTTACTCTCATTAATCTTTAATCCAAAAGAGATTTCAAAAAAAGTTGAATAGTATCTCATCACCACTTGCATTATCTTGATTTTATTCGATTCTCTGATATGTCACAACTTAGTCAATACACTGTGTACGATGAAACTTCAGTTATCATGATGATCGATAAGAGTTGTGCATAGCAGTGATGTGGGTTTTTTTACAACGTAAATATAATTTGGAAGAAAAAACTGCCAAATCTTAACTCCATAAGTAAACGGTATCTCACACACCTAACGATACCTAGCTCTTAGATGTGTACTAATGAATTGCTTTTTAACCTGTCTGGAGGTTAGAAATTTTCGATTATTTCTCAAAGGACGTGTGTGTTCAGTGAGAATTGTCTTTCAGTTAATAAACATTTTTTCACTCACCTGACTTCAGCACTAATAGCTTGCACACGTTTTACGTATAACATTCTAATAGTTTACATTGTAAGCATTTATTGCCACTAAAATGGGATTGAAAACTAGAGGTGGGCATTTTGTCACATGGTATCACAAAATGAAAGATAGCTGCGTTGAATTAGCATTTAATAACATTTCACTACAGCTCAGTGGGTTAAGAGATTATCACACTTAACTTTAAGTATGAGTCAGTAATAATTCTACTGTAATTTGTTTTTGTATTCTTCATAACCTAGTTATACATTTGTACTGAATGAAATCAATATTGATTAGTTTCTTCATAAAACTGACATTCTGTCTCTTAGTGATGTAGGTTTAGATCTCTGAGAGTGACAATAGTTCCTCAAAGATTTCAAAAATATCTCGGTGGTATAAATTGGTTCTGTGATGTATATGGGCTTTCTATTGGTCGTTTTTAATCAGCTAGTATTTCTAGGTACCGATTTGTAGTGAATAATGATGTGGTTTATTACACCGACAGGCATATATATATATATATATATATATATATTCATGAAAATTGGTGTTTAAACCTTTTGAGCGAAATGAACAAGTGAGTAATAGCGTGCAGAATGCTTTTTGATTAATAAGTTGTAACACACACAATGAAGTTTTGTGCGGAACTGTTTTTCTCATTTTATCGGTATGTTGGTATCGTATTAAATATCTTATACTGATATATAAATAGACTTGACACTAAGTTTTCCCAGGAAGCTTATAGAACTGCGAAAGTAAATATTTGCCATATGAGATTAGTAATAATATCCACATATATAAATGCAGGAACAGGTTAGAAGAGGTCATTTGGAGTTGGGATTCAAAAACATAAGGGGTAGGTGATGCAGTAATTAAATGAGGTCCGGAGACAGATAAGATAGATTGTTTGATAATTTTAAATGTTATGATGGATTTACATAAGATCACTGGAATGAAAAATGAATAAGCGAGAATTAAGTGAATGAAAACGTATAAGTGCAGGAATTGTTTTGGTGTACATAAAATAAGAATTAGTTAAGAGAAGACCCCATAACAAAATAAGCACTAATAAAATAATGATAATGAAAAAATAATTTACCAAGATAGTGATAAGTTTATTACTGTTTCTTTCTAGATACATAAGTCAGGTTTACGGCTTTTATTGGTATTGTTTCGGCAAACCAAAAAACGCTGCGTTTTTTGTCTGCTAATGATTTTGAAGGCTTATGAAATGTCAGTGGTATGTCTTGTGTCAAATAAATGCCGATCTATTTCACCTCTCAGTTCTACGTTCTTTGGAACGTGCTCGGAAACGGAAATTTAATATCATAGTCATGGATTCTAAATAGTCACTTGAAAGATGCTTGTTAAGATATACCAAATAAATTACTTGTACTACTATGTCCTCTCACTGAATCTCACAATAAACACATATTTTGTTGTAAATTTGAATAATACTCTTTTTATCTATGACTAAAAGATAATAATGAGTTTAAATTATTTGACCTATGAGTAAAAATTACCCAAAACTGCAATATCCAATTGTTACAAAGATAAAATTAGGTGAAAAGTTCATGGTCATATAACAAAGGTCAAGTGTGAATTCTACATTCAATGAATATAGTCCACAAAAATTAACAACAAATCCCTGCATTAACTATAATGTTTGCTTTAAAAAAATTATTGTTATACTAACAATCGATATGATAAAAATTAATCTTTTTCAAATATCTGCTGTTAAAAGTAAACTCAGATATGTCGTTAAAAGTGAATTATCAAATATAATGAATTCATATTATTCTGCATCAATGTTTGTTCTGGCTTTATTCAAATTTATAAAAGGAACCAATTCCGTCAAATTCAACATGTTGTTTACTACTCACATTACTGACTCGACTCAGTTTTGTTCGCATTTCAGTATTTTTCTTGTTAAGTAGTAAATACAATCAGTCTGTCCCAATTAGTTGCTTTTTTCAGTTTTTATCTCTAAATAGTACGTCATAAAATCTACTTTGTTAGATATGTTATGAATCATGTCTTATAGACAAGGAAATTTCATCCTTAGTCTCCGTTAATTACAATTATTAGTCTAGACTTTATTGTGTCTATTGTGATTAGGCTTGTTCACATGACCTGATTACTTAGCTGCAGTATTTAAGAATACGTCTATGCATCAAAATATTTTGCTTATTTTGAGGTAGATGTACTATACACGTTATTTCAATGTTCCATTATTGATTGGTGTGCTTTGTTTATCTCCCGCTACATACTACTTCAGAGAGGAAAACATAATAGAAGTACTTTTTTATCAGTTAAGACTTTATGCCATCATATTTTTGCAATAATATCGTGTGCGTATTTATACTTTGTTCCACAACTTTTTAAGTTTTTAAAACATAACTGAGTTGACATCATGTTGAACAATATACGAAAATTGCAGAAATCTTTTCCTATTGGACATCGATATTAGGAATTGATGATCATATAAAGATATCGACTTTTGTTTACCATCAGTTTTTTAGTAATGATTATGCATATTGAGATTTCTGTAGTCGACAGGTTGTTCTGTTTTGAAGGATAACTGATAAATATGTATTCAGTAATTATTTATTTTTCTTTTCTATTCATTAGTCGCATTACTGATAGATTTGACAAGTTTCAGTTGACATACTAATTTAACTGATGACCTGACACAATAATTGTTATAAATTTGCTGCTGATTAAGTTAATATATAGTTCCTTCAACCTGAAATTATATATTGGTTGTGGTTTTAGATAAACGTGGCTATTTTGTAGCTGTAACGTTGTGGGTATTCCTGTTTATCTTATTAGTGTGCGTTTTTGTACGAAGTTGTACTGAAACGAAATTTGGTGGCATTAAACTCATTTGCAATTTTGATTCGTGTTTCTTTTTTGGAAAATACTTACATTCAGTTTTATTTTGATTCCCAAGGTCAGAATGAAGTTTCCCAACTGGTTGGCAATCTAATTGAAGAATATCGGAACCGCAAGGAGCGTTTCTTAAATATTCAGCAACAAAGTTCCAAAACAAAGTTACCTACTAACTACCCACCTTTACGTTGCTTACAGCTTCATGGTTCCCTTCCTCAACATGAACAGCTCCGTATTTTTGAACGACCAACTCGGTCTTGTCGTAAAGTTATTGTGGCCACTAATGTTGCGGAAGCGTCAGTTACAATTCCTGGGATTTCTTATGTGATTGATTGTGGCTTTTCAAGAATTCGAGCGTATAATCCTGTCAATGGGCTTGAAGCTTTAGTTACTATACCTACATCTCAAGCTTCAGCACGTCAGCGTGCTGGTCGAGCCGGACGTACAAGAACTGGACAGGTTAGTAAAATATGATTGAGTTACCTATATCTCTTGGCTACACTTTTATTTACATCGTTATTTCATTTATAATAATAATAGTTTTAAAGTCTGTTAACTCGCTATTAGCAAGTATATTAGCTACCCTACCCATTAAAATTATTTCTGTTAATTTTTCCTATTAGTTGATGTTAGTGCTAAGGAATGTAATAGCGAAAGCATATTATTTGTAGTTGATAAAGACGATCATATAAAACTCTCAATATACACATTAACAATCAAATTGGTTCACCATGAGATTATTTCCATATATCTAAGTTGTATTATGATATTCATAAAGTTCTTTTTGTCACGTGCGTACAATAAAATACACACTGAATAAACGGAAATTAACCATACTTTCAGTTCACTAACAGTGCTTCCATCTGATTCGAAGAGTAAACTGTATGTATATATTACTAAATCACGTCTACATACAATAACACTAGTTGTGTTACATCTTTATCTTTGTCGGGACACCTCCCAGAAAGCGCGACGAAGCTTCCAGAGGCCCTACAGGAGTCGAAGAGATTCCATCCAATCAGAATCTGATAGAAGTTTCTAGAATACCAACATGGCATGCTATTACTGAACATTATATAAGTCCCTACTAGCGGATCGGTTGGATTATAATGATGTAGCCCAGACTAAAAACCATAAATACCCCTGTTTTCCTGTACATATTTTAAAACTTACTCAATAACCGCTTCTCGCTCTTTATTCTGTTTTTCTATTTGTGACTGTCACGTTTACTCATTTGAGTGCTAATATCCGCATACAGTATTAGCGGCCATAGAAGTCCTTGTTTATTATCATATATCGATAATAGTTTCTAAGTAATAACTGTTATATCCCGACGAGAATTATGAATGGTAACTTTTGAGAACTATTTGTGGACCAATACGATATATATATTTTTATTGTATAATTATTAAGTAACTAAACTGTGCATATTCATGTTCCTCCTATTATAAACTTTATTTTGACCCACAAACTATTATACGGTTTACCGTTCTTGAGTTATGCCCAGTTTATTAATTACAGTCTCACACATTCACAGACACTTAGCTAGATCTTGTACAAATTTTGTGATCTATTTTGTGGCGCGATGCTGTCTGCTTGGTTTGTATATAAGCCCAGTATGTTTGAAGTACATGATTCATATCTCAGAGGCTGAGATTGATGTTCTGGACTTAATGGGCAGGGCTAGTCAGGAAGAAGGACCGGTAAGGACTCTAGACTGATCGTATGGGTTTATGCGTCATTGGTCCGGTCGATAAGTCACTGTTCTCTACTTGACGGTATCATTACGTTATATATTAATAGGGCACAAGCCACAAGATATAACAATAACTAATTGTGTGTAATTAAAATATCATTGATTTTAATATTTACAATAAATTATAGTCCTTTTTTTCTGTCGCTTATGATGATATTACAGGCTTATCGGCTTTATACTGAAGAGGCATATAATAAACTCTTGCCACGTTTTACACTACCAGAATCTTTACGTGTTGATTTATCTGGTGCCTTGTTACGCTTAAAAACGCTTGGTATCGATCGTTTAGCTCAGTTTGATTGGCTCGACCCACCACCTGCATCACATGTAGGTCAGTCTGCTGAACGACTTGTTGCTTTAGGTGCTCTTGATGCTAGTTCTGGTCATCTTACAATTCCTCGTGGTTTAAAATTAGCAGAAGTTTCTACAACGTGTGGTTTAGACCAACCTTCAACTGCGGCTGCATTATTAGGTGCTTGTGATGAAGGATGTTCTCAGGAGATTGCTGCGATTGTCTCATTAATGCAAGTGAGTAATTAATTTGGTATAACTTTACATTCCAGTAACCACAATCTGTTATTTATTGGTACGTAATGAAATTATACTGAGACTTTTATATAACTAAGAATTTTCGTGAATATTTTATGTATTTTTGCTTGGCTTTTTAGATTCAACGAATATTTACGGTTTCTGATTATAAACACACAAGTGATCGTATTCGTAGGCAGACGTTCGGTTGTCAGCAAGGTGATCATTTAACAGAGTTAAATGCATTTGTTGCTTATGAGAACCAATCAAAATTATTGTCAAAGTCGGAACTTCGAACCTGGTGTCGAGAAGTAGGTTTAAATGAACGTGGGCTAGCTCATGCAGTTATACTACGTGATCGAATTGGCTCCATGTTTCATCGTTTAAAATTGCCTTGGGTAAAAGCAGAGCCTGAAGGAAATCCTAATCCAGTACTAAGGGCGCTTGTTCGCGGATTTTTTCATCAAGTAACAATTTGTCTTATTGAACTTTTGTTTTTTAACCTTATATAATTCTTTTTTAGGATAGTGTTTAATTGTTTTTAGAAAACCTCAGCCACTAGTACCAGTTTTCTGCAACCGTAAAGTTTAAATTCATGATATATATATTTTCCTTTGTACGAATACTTTTCATTACGGACTAGTGTTAGCTAAAAGAAAAAAAACCCAGATATTTTGTTCTAACTGGCACTTCTAAGCAAAACTCACGCATCCATACTGGATCAAACCATGAACATTTAGGTTATCCAATGTTAACTATCCCATTCATAAACAGTAAATCGGAATTCAATAGTGTTCACTTCCGAATTAAGTTCACACATATTGCTAGACAAATATCCATAACTGTTGGTGGGTAGCTAACTAACTGTATTATTCTGATATGGTTTACGGTAACTGCAATTGTTGTAGTGACACTTCGAACCCAGATACGGCAGTTCCTCGACATCCTCACAACTGGACATGGTTGTTTCAATTTAAATTCATTCAGTGAACAAAGATTTTTTGTGATTAGTGGAGAAATTTATTCTCCGTTTCAAAGCATACTTTTATGTATCTTCTATGACAATCAAGTTGTTTCGTTAAAGTTACATATGTTCAATTATTTAGTTGTTTGTTTTCATAATTGTTTTTTATCACGAAACTGCATATCCAATGCTTGGATGAAGTTTATCTTTCTTTAGAAAAGATAACCTCATGAAATTAAATTTGAGTATACATATAAATGAATTATTGCAATTAATTCCCTCGATAAACTTTTGTAAAGTAATAACAACAAATATTGTGGGATGAATTGGATGTATTTCATTATTTCACGTGTACTAAATCTTCCACATGCTAACTGATTTTTAGAAATAAAGAAATGTTAGATGTATGTAATACTGTGTGTAAAATCCATAAAGTCATTTACTACACTGGTTTCAAATAATTACAAATAATTTTCATATTCGTGCAACCTCAAGTCATCGATGACATGAATAGACGAGAAAGAAAGCGAGACTATGACATGATTGACTATCAAAAAAATATATAAATTGTCATGATTACTATGAGAAAAATGAAAGTGATAATAATTACCCAAAAATATAATAATAAAATGTATCTTACAAAATTACATTTGTCAAACATTTCATTTATTATTACAAATTAGCGTATATATAAAATGAACTTTTTATACAGTTCATAAATTTAGCGATATTTGATATAAGAATTATACTTTATGTTCAAATATTGCAGTATGTAGTGACCAGAATAATGCACAATAAGCGGTAGATTCTAATCTATTACCTAACTGGAATATACATTGTGTGATTTTGATTTCTTACGAACAACGAGAGGAACACTTAGATATAGACATTCATAGTCCTAACATTGTATATAAAGTAATTCAAATATCTTTTTGGTATATTTAAATGAAATGTGATTAGTACTTCTGGACTAGTTAGATAAGTAATATCAGCGATGGATACGAAGTAGCAGTGAATCAATGTTTGACCCTGATTTAGGGTTTCTCAGGGGCACAATAATAAACAATTAGATTCCGACCCAGTGGTTTAATGGCACTGTGCTTGTCTCAACACTTGAAGATCATGACTGGTGCTGCGTTTTGGTTCGGCCGCACCAAACCTCCCAACCTACTCCTACACTAAATAAATTCGCCTATCGAGATAGGTGACGGTTAAACATATGTAATACGTGTCCCGACCACTTCAGTTGATCACCGTTCACTACCTTGTCAACTAACTTGCCATCTTCACCTAGTACCCTACCCCTAACCTCGGCGTTGCTGAGTCGTTGGTCCTAAAATACGCGAGCGATGTGTCGGAGGATTCTTATCATTGAATACTAGTAACCTACGAATATCCTCTGCTATTAATGGTCATGTTTATGATCTATGAAGTAAAATAGCGGACTGCTGCGCAGTAAACTCATCCTTCGATTGATAGACAGGTATTTTACCTACATCACAAGTTGGCAAAATCAGTTGAGCTTTCTGAATCCTTGGTCGGGATTCCGCCGAACATTAGACCACGAAGACTGATGAAAATTCCAAAGCAAATTAAGTGGCCAGCACACTTAACCACTTCACTTCCTGTCATTAATTTAGTTGCTGACTCAGGCTTGTCTTTAGGTAACATTTTACATTTGGAGGGATACAATCGCATTTCAAACATGCTTATATTTCTGCTTAAGGCGGTCAGAAGACTGAGTTTTGTTAGCCTCTTGACCAAATGGTGCTATGTTATCTACGTATTTTAAGTCAATAAGGAAGTCTCCTGATAAAATATCGACCCATCTTAAGCCAGATAATGAGATTATCTCTAAAAGAATGTCTGTGAAAAATTTAAATAAAAACTAGAAAATTGGATAGTCTTGATAAACACCACTTGAAGTTATCAATTCCGACGATTGTTTACTATCAACTCTAACTTAACCATTAATATTCGAATAGAAAGCCTGAAAAAGGCTGATGTACTATAAAGAATTTGAAAGAAGAATTCGATATCTACTCAACTCTTTATAGTTCCCAGTTGTTCTGTAGTTAATATCAACTTTTCACACCGATAATCTTTAAAACGAACAAATCTCTATAGATCACACAAGTGTATATATTGATTAAATGTGTATGAGGTTCAATTCTGTGATGTATCTGAATGATAGCCTGTTAAATGTCATTTTAGTTAGTGTATTTGTTTTATGTAGTTTATTTATTTATTTGTTATTTTTTACATTCTATTAACAAAAGGCTGCTCGTCTCGCTTCATCTGGTTCACATTATTTAACTGTAAGAGGAGATCATCAATTACGCTTACATCCTAACTGTATTTTATACTCGTCTACAACACGGTGGCCTGCTTATATCTTATTTACAAATGTATTTCTCACACCTAATTTAGATTATAATAATGATACTAAATCAAATAATAATAATAAGAATGACCTGTCAAGTACTTGTATCAGTGGTGTCAGTGTTATACAACCAGATTGGTTGCTGGAATTAGCTCCACATTATTATCAATTCGGTACAGATAGAGAACATTTAGAACATTCTTTAGGAATAAAAAAGTGATGTATATATTGGTCGGTGGTTATTAACATTTATGTAAATATATTTGGCTGCATTTCTTTGTTTTCTACCAAATTATTCTGTACAAATCCAATCTTGAGATGTTTTTTATTAAATAAATCTTTAACGGTTTGGTATGATTTCATTATCTTCCATTTGGGCTAAATTTATTCGGCATGCGTAGAAGTAAATATATGTTTGTGTGTTCAATCACTTTCTCTATACATTACGCGTAAATTCTGATGCTTTAGAACATCAGAAACGCTCCGTACAAAGTAAAATGGTAGTATTTTTAAGAAATTGAAAATGGAAAGGTTTTACAATTTTTAAGTCAATTAACTTTTTAATAAAGGGTATTGTACGGTTGATGATCCAACCAAGACAGATATCTTGTTTATGATGAAAATAATCGGAAACTATTCTGAACCATACTCTATAATATCTCAAACCATCGGTTTCCATAATCTCTCCTTGATTTCACAATCAGGGAGTTTTGTTGGACCTGAAGTTGCTAGCGTATGAAGCTATTTTTCATACTAATTAGAGTCGGCAAATAATGGGAACTGTGGAGGCCTTTAGAGTGACATGCGTGACGCGTAATCAAGCTACCGAATCCTATCTGTTAAGATGGTGACAGTGCTCGAACACATTGCTGAGCTCTAGGATAACTAACAAAGTGTCATCTCTAGGTGTGAACAATTTATCGAATTCAATGATATTCGAGTGCAGAAAGTCACCGAGCATCTTCAACTTGGAGGGGTCAGTATTTCGTCGTAGATCCAAAAATACTCCCATTGGCATTGTACATCCCAACCTTTAGGACCAAACTAAAATAATAACAGGTGCAGAAATAACCTAGATTAGTTTAAGCCGCTCTAATCTTCACTACATATAGATTGAATTCAAATGACATAACACTAAGGGTACTGACAGCTGCACAAAAATACACATTCCTCACCATAAATTAGTTCGTTAGCAATCTCGTAGCGTTCTTGTGAAAGTGCTTTTAATTTTGAAGGTACAGGTTAAATGCTGTATTTAAGGGCGGTAACTGTCTAATAATTACGTACTATTGGGGTAGAATGGATATCACCGCACTATAAGGTAGTGTCATTTGCGTATTAGAGGTTGAAAAGTTTCTTACCAACTAACAGGTCTACACCACTATACTTCTCGGGTTGTTTCTTTAAGGTTATCGATATTAATCCCTTTATTGGGTTAGAAAAATGGGAAGAGTTGGTCGTGCTGCCACTCTATCTCTATTGCTTTTTTATTCTTCAACATGTTAATAAACTTCTTAAACACATTTGTCTTCAATGGACAATGTCAGGACGCAGTCGTATTCAACAGGTTGGTATCGACCTTGATGTCAAGGAACAATGATTGTTATCCTGAAACAAATGTGGTAGCGCTCTGGCATTTGATAGAGAGTCAAGATGTGGTCAGTGGGTCGAAAACTAGTCTTTGAACCTAACTATGATATTTGGTTTTAACAGGATTTGTACCTAGTTTATTTAGATCAGTCCGTTTAGGACAATGAATTTGTTGGACTCTAAAACAAAAGATAAGGGGATATTATTGTAGTATCAATACGGATAGGTGCTCCAGTTCCGTACACAGCGACCCTATCGGTAACCGATGACTTTGAGCAGAGCATGAATTACAGGTAGCAAAGAGGTAAGCGATAACAGGAAAAGAAGTTGGTGCTGATCTGAAATAGGTTGTAATTCTCACAGAGCTTTAGAAATCGGTCAGCGTTATACGATCTGTGGCCAACATTCCCCTTCAGCCACCCATACGATTCTCATCTGCTCCTAAACCCTAGGCCTACATTTAAAAGTTATTTGTTTGCTCACTTGGTTCGAAATAATAATAAAGAAATTTTATGGGATTTCTTCAGATAAACTTTTATGAAGATTCTCTGGGTCCTTCGGAAATTTCTAGAAAAAAGACAAATCTTAATGATTTCCTGTCAGTTGTGGAGATTTGGTTGTATTCTCAATATATCTGTGACTTATTGATCAATACATTCCCAAAAATGTACAAGACTAAAAAAATCAATTATGACTGACCAATTAAATTTATTACAATGATTTTACAAAAGACTAATTGTTTTTTTAGTATCGTTTAATAATTACTGAGTCAAAACTTATTCTCAGTTACAGTTTTATTTTAAAGATCGTTGCATACTCCGATAAGTATAAGTATATTCCTGTTATATAGCAATGAATTGGAGACATCTGATATCGAAATCGTCAGTTTTCAGTTGAACTTATCTACTCTTTGTAGTGAATATTTTCGTTGTTTATTATAATTTTTACTGTATATAATAGAAAAAAATTAAATACTGTACAGTATTTGTAAAGAAAACATTAATTTCGGAAGGAAATTATCTAGTTTTATTTTCATCTAATCAACTCAAAACAGTGTTAACCTCAATGCTCAAACTACTAAAAATATTCAACATTTTATAATTGTATGTTCTCTATATAACTAGACTTCTATCTGACGTATAAAAATTGGTTTCTGACGTAAATTGAGTTATTCGAACTCCCTAGAATCTTTACAATTTATTAGTGAATTTAAATGGTCGGTTCATATAAATTGTTATGCATAATTATTTGTAGTATTTAACACTATTGTCTAGATAATATGGTGGTTGGAGGTAGTCGACAGAAAACTCTAGACCTAGGTTTCGTGTCATTTGGCTCTCTTCAGCAATCTTGAGATAACTGATGCTTCCTGACGGATTCAATGCCGTATCACCCAGCTTCACATTCAGGGTTGTTACCACCGGGCTATCCGGGCCGCATCCAACCTTTATGACTTGGGTATATTTACAATTGATTGGTCAGTGGATGGAGATCAATGTCCAGATCAAGGGTCTTCTGTCGACTACCTCCAGTCACCATCTTATCTCAACATTGTGCGCTCAATTTCGAGTCACCTAAATTAGTGGCCACATTGCAACTTGGTCGATAGGATTCGATCTCAACTAAGAAGGACCTAACATACATGATATTTATCACCACTCAGTGATCAGTCTATCACAAGCACTATTGTTTTCTGTTATGATGAGCTGTCTGATAATTACTCAGTATTCTGATGATATTGTTTTGTGATCGTAAGATTGTTATCGTCCAAATAGTTTCTAGTAGTTAGTAACATGTAGTCGCTTAATAACTGTCTTATTTTTCTTTTTGAAATTTCCTGAAAGAATCATGAGTTAAATCAGTTGTTTTAACCGAACTGTCATAAACTAGGAGGAATTTTATTTATCACTAAACGAGTCATTTATTTAAAAACCACGAATAGTAAAGATCATAAGATGACATACGCTGAGTTTTTTATGTTTTGTTGTATATTTTATCCATATGGTTAAGTGGTATGTTCGATAAATGCATGAACTAATGTCATAAGCCTCTTTTACAAATTGTAGTGTACGTTTATCTTATTTCTCTCAGAAATACTCCACGTTTCGGAAATAGAGTTCCTTTCGCTATGATGAACACTGGATTCATAGAAGTAGTTAATTCAGAGGCGGTAATATATAAAAGAAAGATTGCATAGAAGGATATAGTACAGGAAGAAAGAATTAGTTCGTAGAAAGAAAGATACGAAGCGATTTCAATCTCACGGTCTAAGGGAAGACAGAGTATATACAGCTACACCATTGTGATCGATTCTGAGCCATGTCACACAGAGTCTCCAACCATTGGTTACGATAGTCACGCAGATCCAAACCAAGTAGTCTGCATCTACCAACATGGCTCAGAATAGAATTTAGTGACTGATACCATGTTTTGCTTTGGTCACCCTTAACTTTCTTCCAACCATCCCCAACAATAGTCAGCATTGCGCTTCGTGATAGTCAGTGTTCAGGCATACGTAACACGTGGCCCAACCATCTCAGTCGATGAAGATTCGCAATCTCATCAACTGATTTACCATCATTCCCTAATACCCTACGTCTAACCTCACTATTACTTACCCGGTGATCCCAACAGATGCAAGTAATATTTCTAATTCATCTGTGGTTAAATATTAGTAGCTTACGAGTATCCTCTACTCTTAATGGTCACGTTTCGCAGCCGTAAAGCAGAACAGAACGAACTGCTGAGCAGTATACTCATCCGTTAATTGATAGATGGATATCCCGCCTTCGTTACAGGTGACGTAAGTTGGCAAAAGTCGAACGAGCTTTCTCAATCTGTGCTGAGATTTCGTCAGACACCAACCCATTATGGTTGATCAGACTTCCGAGATATGTGAAGTTGTCAACGCGTTCGACTACTTCACTCCCTATCCTTAGTTCAGGTGTTGACGCAGACCAGTCCTGAAGCAACAACTTGCATTTAGAGGGAGAGAAGCGCATTCCAAACATTCTGGCATTGTTGCTTAGTGCTACCAAAATACTCTGCATTTTATCAGCGTCTTCACTAAACAGGACTATGTCATCTGAGTATTCAGAGTCGATAAGTGGACCTCCTGGAAGGAGATCAATGAACGAAAATTCAGTCGACGAGAGCGTTATTCCTATCAATAGGTCTATGATGAAGTTAAACAAAAATGGAGAAAGTGGACAGCCTTGACGGACACCACTTGAGGTTGCAAAAGCAGATGACGGTTCGCCACAAGCTCTGACTCGACTAGTAGTGTTCGAGTAAAGAGCCTTTACGAGGTTTATGTACTTCTGAGGTACGCCTTTTAATGACAGACACTACCATAGAACCTCTCAGTCTACAGAGTCAAATGCTGCTTTTAGATCGAGATAGATCACGATTGTCGGAGGCCGATAAGCATGTTTGTGTTTTATAACCTGACGAATGGTGAATATGTGGTTAATGCAGCCACAACCAGGTCTGAAGTCAGCCTGATTTTCTCGTGTTTACAGTTCACGAGTCTTTGTTAGGCGTCCGATAATTATTGAAGCTAGTATTTTAGATGCTATATAAGTCAAGCTAATGCTTCCTCTTTTGTCACACGATGTTTTTGACCCCTTC